CACCCCCGCCCCAAACTCCTCCCCAGGGATAGTGAGGTCCTCAACCAGGGACCTTCAAAGTCTGTCATATCATTTGGGGGAGAGCCTAGGCCCCCCTTGATGTATCTGGGCTGCAACAGTATCCCTCCATAGGGAATGAGCTCCCAAAGTCCATTTGTGCTCTAGGGTTAAAGACTGGCTCCACTGTTAGAGGTCCCATAGACTGCCCTGGCCTCCTAGCTGCACTCACATACTTGGTTTGGTCCAATGCTGTTTCCGCAGCTATATGATTAGGGTCTCCATGCTCTCACTAGGTCAGGTCAACTGTTTCTATGGGTTTCTGCAGCACCGTCTTGGCTCCTTTGCTCATCCCTCCTCCCTCTCTACAATTGGATTCCAGGGGAATGGTTCAGTGCTTACCTGTGGGTGCCCATTTCTGCATGGATCAGCTACTGTATGAAAGCTCTAGGAATGGTAACCAAGGTAGACACCAATGTCATTATAGGGGAAGGGCATCAATGGCATTTTCTGCCCCACCTCTTGGATTCTTAGTTGGGGTCATGCCTGTGGATTCCATAACATTTCCCCTATACCAGACCTCTTTCCATACCTGTATTATCTCCCTCTATCAAGCCATCTCCTTTCTTGCTCTCCTCTATTCCTCCCCTCTCTCAGGCCTCTTGGTCTCCTCCCCATCCCCTTCTTCCTTTCCCACCACCTTCTTCTCTATCCACGTCCCCTGTTTCCACTTGTTCAGGGGTTCTTGCCCCTCTCCCTTTCTTCTAGGTACTATACAATCTTCTCTTGGGGTCCTCCTTGTTTCCTAGCTCCTTTCCAGCCAGTGCTCTTAACTGCTGAGCCATTGCTCTTACCCATTTCTTCTTAAAACAACCCAGGAAATACAATTTATGCTGTTTCTATATTCTTGCAAGTGTGGTGTTACCCTGGGAAGTGGCTGACTTACCAGGGGTATGTTCATAAAAGAAAATCGATTTTCCCTTTGAAAGCAGCTGCTAGGGGTGGGATTTTGTACCCATTCACCTCAGCCCTCCATGCTGGAACTGGTCTTGCTTGCATTTGTGTGTGGGCTTTGGGCATGCTCTCACAACCACTCAGAATTCATATGTGCATCTTCCTTGCTGTGTCTGGAAAATACTGAATCCTGGTAATCATGTACCATTTTTGGCTCTTCTAGTCTTCCTGCGCCTTTTCTGCACTTTTCCTTGAGATTTGGTAGTAGAGAATATGATAAAGATATCCCATATAGGACTGAGAATTACAGTGTTACTCCCTGCATGTTGATAACATATAGGTATCTGTGGTAAATGAAATCAAATTGCAAATAGAAGCTTCTCTAGTGAAGATTGAGAGGTGTGTTAATTTATTGAAAATTCATCTCATATATGAGTATTGTATGTAAATCATTTTATTAGCTCTCTTCTCCCACCTACTCCTCTCCTTTCTTCCTCTCTCAAATTCATGACCTCTTCATTTTTATTAGAAAGAAAATTATTCTACATGTCAATCACCGGTCCCTCTCCCCTCCCCAGCCCCCACCCCCAACTAACACCCTACCAATCCCATACCCTTTCTGCTACCCAGGGAGGGTGAGGCCTTCCATGGGGGAGGGTCTTAAAGTCTGTCATAGTCTTTAGGATTGGGCCTAGGCCAAACCTTTTGTGTCTAGGCATAGAGAGTATTCCTCCATGTGGGATGGGCTCCCAAAGTCCATTCCTATCCTAGGGATAAGTACTGATCCACTACAAGAACACCCATAGATTTCCAAGGTCTTCTCACTGACACCCACATTCAGGAGGTCTGAATCAGTCCCATGCTGGTTTCCCAGTGATCAGTGTGGAGAACAAGAGTTCTCTCTTGTTTAGGTTAGCTGTTTCTGTGGGTGTCACCAGCCTGGTCTGGACCCCTTTGCTCATCAGTCCTGCTGGATTTCAGTTCAGTTCAAGGTTTAGCTGTGGGTGTCTGCTTCTACTTCCACCAGCTGCTGGATGAAGGCTATAGGATGGTATATGAATTAGTCATGAATCTCATTATCAGAAGAGGGCATTTAAAGTAGCCTCTCCTCTGTTGCTTAGATTGTTAGTTGGTGTCATCTTTGTAGCTCTCCAGACATTTCCCTAGTGCCTGATTTCTCTTTAAACCTCTATTATATTATCTCTTATCTTGTTCTCTCTTCTGTTCTTCCCCCACTCACCTCAACCCCCTTGCCCCATCATGTCTTGCTAACCCCTTCTCTTCTCCCATTCTCATTCTACTAGTTCCCTCTCCCCTCCTCCCATGCTCCCAATTTTCTCAGGGGATCTTGTCCCTTTCCCCTTCTCCAGGGGACCATGCATACCTCTTAGGGTCCTCCTTGTTTACCAGCCTCTCTGGTAGCCTGGGCTGCAGGATGGCAATCCTTTACTCTACGTCTAAAATCCACTTATGACTGAGTACTTACCATGCCTGTCTTTTTTTGACTGAGTCACCTTGCTCCGAATGGTTTCTTCTAGTTCCATCCATTTGCCTGCGAATTTCAAGATTCCGTTGCTTCCCCCCCCACCCCGCTGCTGAGTAGTAATCCATTGTGTAAATGTACCACATTTTCTTTATCCA